CAGATGATGTTTCAGATGATTTTGGGATCACTATAGGAAAAGCAAACACAGCATTTACCGTCCCAAGTTTTGACCACCAACAGATCATCATCATTCATTATGCTGATGATGTGGGTTTTTTGTGTACTACTAAGGTTTTTATCTTTTGTTTGGTCACTGTCTCAATATTCACTTAAAGGACAGTCCCATTAGCTATAAGTTCACTTTCACTTTTTGTGAATACTACTGGACAATAACCTATGACTAGAAATCACTCATAAGGATAGGGAAATGGTCAACAATTGGGGCGGCAGAAGCTTAGTCTAGAGGGTCACTGGTTTAAGTCCAGCACAGACCACAGTGTAGAATGTGGACTGGTAGTTGGTTTTCTCCAGCTGGAGTGGCCAGGAGGAGAGAGAGGGGAGGAGACTGCCGAGGTGCACTTGGGCGAGGCACATATTCCCTAACTGCTCCCAGGTCGCCGCTATGTGGCAGCCCCTCTCTCCACCATCTGTCCACATTTGCATGCAGATAAGCCCTGTGTGTACATGACTGTATTTTGGGTCTGTGTGTCTGTAAAACTTCCCCATTGGGGATTAATAAAGTTCTTCTTCTTCTTCCGTAGCGGGAAACAATGATGGCTTGTCTGACACAGGCTCGTATTACAGCTAAACAGTACTCTAAAATTAGGCCTAGTTAGACAGTTTGATCTGAGTTTTGTGCAGTGCGTTGGACAGACTCAGTGAGAGTCCCTTGTTAATCACAAGGTAGCCACGCCCAAAGGAATATGCTGCTTTATCGTCTATTTTACTCTAAATTGGACCATCATTTACTAAATGAACATCATAATGTATGGAAGAAGACTTAAAACTAGTGGTTGAGACCATAAACTGTTTAGGAAACTGTTTACTGAGCTAAGTTAACTAAGCTAACTAAGTCCATTTTTTTGTTTTTTATTGCAGCCAATGGAGCTCCCCCTGCTGGCCTTTACATAGAATGCAGGTTTAACACACTTTGTGTTGGCTTCACTTTACAGACTTGGAAGCTCTGTCCATTATATACTGTCAATGGTTCTCCCTCAAAAAGGATAATCTAATTGAATCAACTAGAGCTAAATATCAATACGAGTTCAATCAATTATTTGGTCTACCTGCTGCACATAACAATATCCAATGAGTGTCAGAACTTATGCAATTTTTTTCATCATTTTCATGATTGTATATTTTGATGTTTTTATTAGGTGTATTAGTATATAAAATGTGATATTATAAGCATATACATGTCACTCGCCTTTCCTGATTTATTTAATAAAGTCAATCAATCAATCAAGGTTTCTCCCAGTGTCACATCAACAATATGAGTGAACAAACAACCCTTCACCATCACTGTGTCTGCCCACCAGCTTCGTGTAAAAGTGGCAACAGCGGACAAAGACTAATATACAGTAAAACAAAGTTGTACAGTATCTTCTGAGTGAGGTAACACTAGGACCCAAGTAGCGGTGCCACTGTATTTACTCAACAGCTTTAACGTGTTTCAGATGGTCTAGATGTCTTTTCTACTTTCTCTACTAAAGGGCATAACACAAGGTCTTTGTTATGACTCTAATCACAAACAAGTGTCTACTATCCACTGCTGGAGCTGTGTGTGTCTACTGTGTGTGTGTGTGTGTGTGTGTGTGTGTGTGTGTCTGTTTGTTTGTTGTTAAGACCAATCAGGAAAACGTCCAGGATTTTCTTAGTGAAAGAAAAGATCACATTGATGCTGTTTCTTCCATGAAAACATTTTGTCAGCAGAGCAGGAATATAGAGTAAACCATAAGCCAAAACTCACAACTCATATTTAACTGAAAAGCCTGGATGAACAGCATTCTTCTGGAGGAAGAGCAGCTTAGTACTCATTTTCATTTTATGGTGATCATGCTGGATTTTTGCCCATTGATTCATATCTCTTTTGTATAAAGTATTCTGAGGTTTTATATTACTGTTTATCCTGTAGGCAGTAGCTTATTTAAATTATTTTCATCAACTTGCAGAGATGTAAAACTTGCAAAAGATAGCTTGTAAAATAAGCAAAAACACGACTATTGCTACAATTTTATCTTTTAAACAAAACTAATGCAAAATTAGTAAAATCACCTTTTGAGTAGTTAGCATTTAACACAGATTACTGATGACAAAAACAAGCAATGGCTGATGAAATTGTGAAAATAATTCTAAAACCTTTGGCAATGTAAAGCATACACTTTAGTTACAGATCTAAAACTTACTTATAATCCTTTACAGACGAAATCTGCCTTTTATTGGGTCAAAGTTTTAAAAACAGACCTAATTTTGGCATATGCGCACAATAACAAATAAACCAATTAAAGACAGAAGACAATTTTTTGAGATTTTACACAACAGAGAAACACCCACATGGACACACACCACTCGCTCACAGACTGTGCCTAAACGCCTAGACAAAATAATTTGACAGGATTCCTCCAGTAATTTCAGTTTCCAGTATCCTGCCGGTTGTAATCTTATTGTCTGAGTCTGTTTTCTGTCTGAGACAGATTTTAAGAGAGGACATCAGATTGGAGTTAACACTGTTTGCCTTTCTGTTTCCTACACACAAAGACAGAAAGCCCCAAAAATGCACACAGACACCACAGAAACACTTTGACTGGAGCAGCATTAAGGTCAGCATGTTCCTTTACTACAAAGTAAAGACACATGCACTTACACACAGCACCATAGAACAATGAGAGAAGAACTAATTACTTAGTAGAAATCACTCAGTACTAATTAAAAGGTAATAAAAAAAAGCACATTTAGAATTAAAATCTAAAATCTAAATCTGTGCACAAGTATAATATTTTTGGACAATATCAGAGGGCCTCATGCGTGTGTGTGCTTGTACATATTTTGTATGAATTAATTTGTCAGCTGTGTGTGTGTGTGTGTGTTTGTGTGTAAAGTGCGTATGCGATTGCCTTTGTTTCTCTGCGGCAGTGAAGTACTTGTGTTAAAGTTAAACAGCGCAGACACAAGCAGGTCAGCTCCTCAATCATCCCCACTCGAAGCCGCTGAGAGCACAAACACAGACGTCAACTAAATCATCACCATTAACGTCAACAGAAATCCTGCTGTAATAAGAAGAAAAAAAGACGGTTGGACTATTATTGTAATATCATATATTATCATTCAATTAAAGATTCCGATCTGTAAAAAAGACGAATTTGGAAAAATTCCATGCCTCTCCTGAAGTAGTTTCAGAACCTCAGATGAGTCTAAGCTCCATGGACAAATGACTTAAGATGACTCATATCTTTCACAGCAAGGTTTACGCTCAAGCCAACAAGCATTTTGTAAGAGTTGGGGATTTCTTTTTTACTGAGGCCTTTAAAAAGGCAAAATACACAGAGGCAAAAGTTTAAAGTCAGGGATAATAGTCACAGAAAAGTACCTGCAATCAGCTTTGTGAATCACTTGGTGTGCTTTGGGCTAAATGCTAATGTCAATATTTACATGCTAATGTTTACCAAGCTAGTTTAGTGTGTTAGCATGCTAACATTAGTTAACATTAATTATGGATGATGGTGCTGGCGTGCTAGTTATGGATCACTCATTCATGTGTAAAATCTGAAATGAGCCAATCATTCTTAAATTAGTGTCTAAAAATTTGGAGGTTACAATGACCTTTGACCTTTAGGTCACCAATTCAGTGTCACAACTGTGAAATATGGTCACAATCTCCCCCTCTGTTCCTGAGTTATGGTGTTGAATAATGGCTAAAAAAATTGTTTTTACAGGACATTATGATGTCCCAGTAAGGTTGACCTTTGACCTTTAGGATAAAAGATGTCATTACTCCATTGTTGTATTCCATTATACACCTGCGTGAAGTTTTGTCATAGTAACTCAATTTATGAGTCATGACCAAAAACGTCATTTGTCATGGCCCTTTGAGATCTCAGTGACCTTTGACCTTTGGGTCAAAAGTATCACCAATGAATTGTCTGACCAATTGTGAAACATGGTCATCAATTTAGTTATGGCCAAAAGTGTGTTTTGAATCAGTTCAACCTTGAGTCCAAGCGGATGTTTGTACGGAAGTTTGAAGAAATTCCCTCGAGTAATTTGTGAGGTAATGCGTTCACAAGAATGAACAAGACATACAGATGGACGGATGAATGGACGTACAGAAAGACAACCCGAACATTTAATGCCTCCGGCCGCAGCTGATACCAGCGTGGAGGCGTGAAAACTACGTGCCAAAATCAGTTGTCTAAAGCCTGACTTTTATTTTTAAAGCGTTGCTGAGATCATTTCCCCTAAGGAGAGAAGACAGAAAGCGCATGACACAGCTCATGAGCAGACCTAATTCACAATATAGAGTACACACTATGCTCCAAAGTTGACTGATTTGACTATTAAATTCCTTTTACACAATTTAAAGGCAATTTTCTTTTTTCTGGTAAGATGTTCCATCTGCAGAACACCACAGCTGCCCATGAACATTTATTTCTAGAGACGGCACAGCATGTTCGAATCTATTATTTACACATTAGGGTATGACACATGGCCTAAATTAAAAAAAATTACTTAATTCAACAATCCATGATCTACTGTACAGGATGACTGAAACTAAATCAAATTACTTTAATTATTTTAAATGTCTTACAAAAGGCAACAACAATCTAATTTAACCTAATCTATGCAGCCAGTCAGTAATTAAAATAGTATGTCACCTTGTACCGATCTTTAAATGCAGTCCTCATGACACCTGTAAGACTAATACACAGACAAAGGACTTTTAACAGAGAGGACAGCAGACAAACACACATCTATTTACATCGCCTTACTCACAACACTGAATACTGTAGCCATATGTGTCAAGAGCAAAGAACAAAACTGCAATGCATTCATCGTAAAGAGGTGAGTATATCCACTGTAGGTAATAAATATTTCAAAGTTGGAGCGTACTAAGGCACAACACTGTTTCTACTGGCCAAACGTGCAAATTCCCTCGTCAAAGTTGCCAAACCCAACTGGAAATCGAACCGCAACAGGCTACATCGGCTTGACTGTATTAAATAAAAAAACTGAGCAAATATTCACAGAAACTGGTACAAATGTGACTGCCTTTACTGTGTGTTTACCTCAGTGCCATAGACGTCCCGTTGACTGACGCAGCCGAGCACCCTCTGTGGGCGGGTCCATAGGAGCAGCTCCCTTGCCGTGTGTACCGCTCATCTCCACAGCAGAGAATCACCAGAAACGCCCTCCGAAACGCCCGGTTCAGAAAGGCGTACAGGAAAGGGTTCAACCCTGAGTTAATGTACCCGAGCCACAGCCAGGCTGTCCACAGCTGCCAGGGCACTGAATAATGGATGAAGGGGTCCACCACGTTGGTGATGAAGAATGGCGCCCAGCATAGGCAGAAACAACCCATTATGATTGCCAGCGTCTTTGCTGCTTTAGTCTCAACGCGCATGCGGCTATTTGCTATGGGAGTATGCTCTGAGGAGGAACCTGTTGTTGTCCTGAGGCGGTAGTGCTCCAGTGGATCTGAAGAAGTGGAGGACCTCACTGTGATCATTGGAACTGTCCCGGTAACAGGAGCGGAGCCGGCCCGCTGTAGTGTCTCGATCTGCCGCACGTGGGTCATGGCGGTGACGTAGATACGCTGATAGGCCAGGACCATGAGGGCTAAAGGGACGTAGAAGGCCACCGCAGAACAGATCAGGGCATACGGCCGGTTGACCAGAAACACGCAGCTTGTGTCATTGGAGCCTCCCGCCAAGGCTCGCCTCTCCTCGATCTGTAAAGGAGAGCACAGACACAAAAATTACAAAAATATTACCAAGAAGTACACAATCTGACATCAGCTGACCTACACTGGGGACTAGTACGGACTGCAGGTATAAAAAAAAATATACAAAGGTCTGAAAAAAATAATAATAAAGCTTTTCAGTGCAACTTTGTATGCAACTGACTTTCATCATTATGAATCATGACCTGAAGTTAGTTATAGTTGAGCTGGAGCCAGAAACTGCTAGCCCAGCTCAGTTCCAAAAATACTTTTTTATTTTTCTGTTTGTGTATGTATTAAAGAAACAGGATACAGATTAGAAAGCTTTAGGTAGAAATGATTTTTGCATTCAGCTGCTAAGCTGGGCTAAACAAAGTAGTAATATGTGAAACACTAATAGCATATACAATTGAGCTTTTAATCATAAGTTCCTTTTCTACAAAAATAAGTTTTGTAGAATCTGGCCAACGGCCCATATCTTCGTCCTTAATTGAAAAATTGAGGAGGTCAGAGTAAATCCTGCAGGTAGAGGATTGCCTCAAGATGAAAAGTGAATTTTATCTCATTCCTATCTCTAGTAGTTGGGCTTGTGTACTACCCTACCATCAGAGCTCTGCATGGTCATAAATTGTTCATTTTGTGTGATAGGGTAATAAAATCAGCATTTAAAAGCACATAATACACATATTCAGTACTTCTGGTGTGAAGGCTCAGAGTCAGCACAGACTCCTCAGTTTCAAATCAACTTGCCCCAATAGAGCAGAGTCTCATTCTTTCTTTTGTTAAAATGGTGCAGACGCAATTCAAGCCAAGCACACATACTGTACCGTATTGTTTAACTTGTGTCACACTCATTGATTTAGTTCTTGTGGCTTTGTGACAGCTAGAGTGAGAAGAAGTTTCAGTGTCAAACACTTCCTTTTTGGGACATAACAGAAATACAGTGAGGATTTTTGAAATGTTTGAGAAACAGACAAGTGACCAAAGAAAAGACAAACATCCACACAACATATAAAATAATAAATTAATTTTAGTCATTTAAAGTTCTATGTAATTTTGTCTGTGATATATGACTTCAAGACATCCAGACAGCTTTTGAAAACAGAATATTTTTGTTTGGATGCTGCCTGTCTAAAGGACAGAGAAAAGAACTGTGTATTTCATTAACTCTGGCTGAATAAATTCATCTAGCCCGTCTGCCTCTGGGAGTCCTGCAGCTCATTTCAAGGCAGCTCTGAAATAACCTTACGCCAAAACATATCCAAACCAGCAGAAAATTCTTGTTGAAGTGCTGTCTTTGCTCGCAGCAAGAGAACCTCCACAGGGACTGGAATTGTTTTGTGATCACTGCATTACCTTGTCATTGTTCAAGGGATTGGAAACATTATTAGAAACAGAGAATATTAGGTTGGAAAGGTTTAAGCTGCATTTGCCCTCGCAGAAAGTACATCTCTCTCTTTAGGCGTTTGAGGGAGGTATATGAACTCTGTGCTAGTTTTTTAAAATATACAGTATGTTTTGTTGATGCAGAATTTTAATACATTTTTAAAAATAAGAATGTAACCAGCAGATGTTTTTGGGCTCATTACTGGGTCACCTCTCGCCCCCTCCTTGATTTCTGATCTTAGATATTGAGGACTCACAATGTCCTCGATGCCGATGGCGTTCCAGCTTTGCATGATGGGTAGGAAGGAGATGAATGTGGGGATGAGCCAGCAGCCGCTGAGCATCACTGCCACTCTAATCGGGGTCATCTTGTGCCTGTAGACCAGCGGCTGGCAGCAGATAGCATAATACCTGGAATATTACGCACACACACACAGACACACACGTTGTATACTACAACTACTACTACTAGCTTTCAAATAGCATTAGATGATGATATTTTTTAATCTCATTTATCATGCAATATCTTTTACACCCATAAGACCCACCCAAATAAGTCCTCCCACCCAAAATTCAATTTATTACACTGTACACTGTATTATTCTTTCCTCTAAGGAAAATAGCTGAGACACACAGCATAATTTATTATTTATTATTATTGTCTTTCATTATCATTTTGATTTATTTTATTTGACTTTGTATGACTTATTTGAGGGAATCTCTCTTTGAAGTGCTTCTTCCATCAGTAGATTGTGTTTTCATTATGTTCATTTGCAATGTCTTGGATTTGCGTATTAAATTACAGCGTTTTTAGCTTCCAAGTATACATCTGAGAGTATGATAAGCAATGTAATTTGTCAGAAACCCATGAATGAGGTTCAATTCCCCTCTGGCATCGCTCTCATACACACAAACCTGTCCAGTGCTATGCAGCAGAGGTGCAGGATGGATGCTGTAGTCAACAAGACGTCCAGAGACGTTCGGACCAGGCAGAAGATCTCTCCGTACCGCCAGTGGCCAGTGGTCAGCTCGATCGCAGCAAAGGGCATCACCACCAGCGCAACTAGCAAGTCAGCAAATGCCAACGACACAATGAAGTAGTTTGTCTTCTTCTTTCTAAGAGGGAAGGACAGGAGACAACAAAGAACAATGTTATGTATCATAATGCCTCACCTGACTATAAAGGTGCTACCGCTCTGCCAACTGTCAGTGTGACTTTACAGAAATATGAAGCGACTGACATCTGTCCAGTTTTGCATTGATAAATAAAGACAGATCAAGATTTGAGGAAATTATTATTATCTTTTTTAAATGAGTAAATCATATATTTCGAAAACATTTCATGTATAGGTCATAATTTTGACTTTAAATTCAGTTTCTTGTAGTTTGACTTTGATTGTGGGAAAGTCATGAAATGTCAAAGTTACGATAACCTAACCGGTCCAGTCAGATAAGGTGTTTCTTCCTGTAATGCGAGTGCTTTGACATTTGCATCACATGTACACAAAAAACACCCAAAATAGGTTTCATTTAAATGTTAAAAAAACTGAAACTCACCTCAACCTGATTTGCCAACACATGTGCAGCTCTATGACAGAAACAATGCTAGCATTGTAATTGATTTTTGAACACAGTTTTCCAAAATGCCTCACGGGAACATTTGTGTATTCAATACAAATCGCATAAAACAAATTCTTTGTCTCTTTGTTTTTGCAGTGCTTGTCTCATTTAAGTCACATCTGAATTTCCAATGTATACCACACGATTTTATAAAAACAATTTCTTACCTTACAGGCAGCTATTAAAGGACTAAAACTTGTTCACGTTACAGAGGGAAACTTGAGGTTTGTTGTGTTGTACGGATTCAGATGGCTGAATTTTACTGGGACTTTGAAGCCAGATTGGACTCACCGTAAATGTCTGTCCTTGCAGAGTGCCACCATGACCAGCAGGTTTCCAAACACTGTCATAATGATAATAATGGAGAGAAAGATGGTGAGAACGATAGTCTCCAGCGAGCTCAGGAATTCCTGCTGCTGCTGTTGTTCCTGTTGTTGTTGTCCTGTGTTTATTACGTCATCCAACAAACTGCAATAAAACAAAAGAAGCATTTTGAAATTCCTCATATATCAGATTATCTAGGGTAGTCGATAGTAGATAGTATATACTTTACAACTGAACATAAACCATTTGGTTTTGCACAAATAACCCCAATTGTGTCACTGAGGATGGTCTCTTTAATTGAGCAGAAAGCCACACCTACATAAAAATGAGTAGCAATTAGTACTTAAATAAGGCAAGCTACAAAATGTATTTAATGTTTAGAGAGAGATTCACTAGAAAGCAATGATAGTGAAATAAATTAACCATGTTTTAAAAAGCAAATATTTTACAGAACTGGTTTGGGATTTGTAATTTGTAAACTGGTTAATAATGAGTTGAATTTATGGCTTACTGTCGAGGTGATGCTGTGGCCATCACTGGTCATCTGCATTGAGGTCAGCAGAGGATGGTCCTTTTCACCCCATGCTCTGGCCCTGTCAAGACACACACACACACACACACGCACACACACAGTGGAGTTGTGCTGGCTTTTGCAGTAAGTCTGCATTTTTCCGAAAATAGTAGCCAGCTTGCGTGTACAAATGGGCTGGATTTCTTGATGTTTGTCCGGCTTGTGGCAACATTAAGGCGCCAAAAATGTGGTATTTGTGCCTCAAATAAGTAACTGGATCACAGCTTGAGAGCGTGTGATATTATAAGACAAACAGGCAGCAACAGGCAGCAGCTGCTTCTGCCAGATTCCATCAGCATGTTAGTTTGTCTTTGTAATGCAATAATAACACCATGCTTTACTGAGGACCACAAGGAAAATTCTCTCTCCCCTGTCAAGAGAGGTCAAAGGTCAGATATCAGCTCCTGAACAGCAGCTCTGGTGCAGGTAGAGATTCAGTAGATCCTGGTTGTCACTGCTGAAGGACAGTCTGTCTGACCCTGCAGCCCTTATTTAAAATAAGGTAAACATACTGGTTTTACTAACAAAAGCCTGAGTTGCAGAGAGGACAGTTAGTTAACAAACAGACGAGGGAGATTAAAGTATTAACTCTGGGTCATTGTCTATGTGGGCCCTGTTTTACTTTTGTTCTGTCAAGTCAATAATTTCTGATTCATACCAGTATGCAGCTTGTTAAGTGTTTGATTGGCTAATTCCAGCTCTCTAATTAAGGCCAAGGGGATCAGTGGACGATCAAGAAGTCAACCCAAAAAGAACAAAGCCCAATCTCTTTTTAACACCTTTGCTTTCTCTGACGGCTACCCAATAATTGTTATGATATTTCACTCTGAACCACAAATGTCAACCTCACGGTG